ACCACAGACTCGGTGCACACACTAATAGCAAAGCAACCAGCTACCATGGAGACATCAGCTGTACCATAGGGTGAGGAAACCTCTGTGAATCCCTACAGAAGGGCTGGCAGAGAAGCTAGAGTCCTAAGAGATTAGGAACAACACTCACAGATGGCTCAGTGGGCTGGTCTCCTGGAGAGCCGCAGTTAGCATTAGGAATTGAGATTACGCTTCCCCATTTGTTTTCTTTCATCCATCATTCATTGCAGCTAGAACCTGCAAGCTCCCTTGAGGGCAGAGATCTTTGTTGGGTGTGATTTTTTTAAAAAATAATATTCTTAATAAAATAAGCGATTGAAAAAATTAAAAAAAAAATAATAATTCTTAATGCTTGTTACTTTTGAGAGAGATAGAGAGCAGGAGGGGTGGACAGAGAGGGAGACACAGAGAATCCAAAAAAACAGGCTCAGGCACTGAGCTGTCCGCACAGGCCCTGGGAGGCCCAAACCCACGAACTTCGAGATCGCCTGAGCTGAAATTCAGGACTGAACCCCGCCAGCTGAGCCACCCAGGCGCCCTCAGTTGGGTGTGATCTTCACTGTGTCCCCCCAGCTCCCAAGAACAATGCCTGACATAAAGAGGCTGTTGATAAATGGCTGTTCAGTGAATGGTGAATCAGCAATTCATTTAACACATCTAATGACTATAGGGGTGGGTAGCTGTTAACAGAGGCGGGATGGTGAAAAAGGCGAGAAGGTGGCAAGCCTTGGTGTACTGAAAACTGCTGGAATCAACAAGCGAGCTCTCCCTCTATCCCTTTTCTATAAAACACAGATCTGTGGGGCTTCTGTATGCAATGTGGAATACAAGAAAGGAACAATGGCTTTGATATCAGACAGCTGTACTTTTTAAATCTGGCTCTTCCATTTGGGGAAAACCCAGGCTCAAAACTTATTTAACCTAAAGTCAGTTTTCTCATCTGTAAAATGCTGTACAGCGATTGGCTGTGAAGTTAACGGGAAAAAACAGAAATGCTTGGTTGGCTCCCTTTGCCCTCACCCATCCTTCTGACTGAGAGCTGGGGTTCTGCAATCTGGTAGAGCTCTGGGCCCCAAATCCCTGGATGTCCATCCCTGGGACTCACTTTTCTATTCTCTTCTCCCTTCTCTCTCTCAAGTTTCTCAAGCCTTCCTTCCCCTCTAGAAAATGCATAGTAATCTCTGCCTCCTGCCTCACTCTCCCACTTTTTTACTCAGTTCCACTGGTTTGTGGTTCAAATACAGGTGTCACCCAACTGTTCACTGGGGTGGTTGCGCTTTCTTCCTCCTCAGTGTCCTATTAGACCAGCCAGTGCCTTGATTTGTAGGTGCTTAATAACACATGCAGACAGATGGGTGGAACGGCTGGCCCCTGAGGAACCAACCTAGAGCATGACCTCTCCCAACGTGCTTACCTATGGGCCTTTATGTGGCCCTTGAAAATCAGACTAAGGCTTATTATGTTACAGACTCACCATGGTCCATTTTTTAGATTGTAGCTTCATGTTCCTGGCCTTGGGGTCTGTTAGCCTGAGCCTGATTCTGATGACTTCCACCTTTTTTTTTTTAAGTTTATTTATTTTGAGAGAGCACGAGCAGGAGAGACAGAGGGCGAGGATGGCTCTCAACCCCAACGGGCCACTGAGTGTGGGCCCATTCAGGGCTTGATCTCATGAACCCTAAGCTGACTTGAGTTGAAATCAAGTCGGACAGCAACTGACTGAGCCATGCAGGCACCCCAACCTTTTGTGACTCCTGGGGCACTCTCCTGGTAGCTCAGTCGGGTTAAACTTCGACTTAGACTCAGGTCGATCTCCCGGTTCCTGAGTTAGAGCCCCATCAGGCTCTGTACTGACAGCTCAGTCTGAATCCTGCTTGATTCTGTGTCTCCCTCTCTCCTCCCCAGCTCACACTCTGTCTCTCAAAATAAGCAAAACAAAAAATTTTTTAAGATGACTTCCTTTTTAAATAATTTGTTCTTAAATCTAGACTCCAATCGACCAATTAACCCAAACATACTAACTCACAAAAAAAAAAAAAGGCGGAAGTCATCAGGAATCAGGGTCAGGTTAACAGACCAAGGCCAGGAACATGAAGCTACAATTCTGGGAAAAATGGTCTCATGGTGAGGTTCAGAACATAATAAGCCTTAGTCTGATTGACAAGGCCACATAAAGGCCCAGGTAAGCAGTTGGGAGAGGTCATGCTCAGGCTGGTCCTCAGGGGCCAGCCGTCTTACCCATCTGTTCTTTGCATGTGTTATTAAGCACCTGCCAAAATCAAGGCACTGTATTGGCTCCAATAGGACACTGAGTGAGGAAGAAAAGGCAACCACCCCAGTGAACAGTTGGGTGACATCTGGTATTTGAACCACAAACCAGTGGAACTGAAAGTAAAAGTGGGAGGAGGAGGAGGAGGCAGAGATTACTATGCATTTTCTAGAGGGGAAGGAAGGCTTCTTGGAGAAACTTGGAGAGAGAGAAGGGAGGAAGAGAAATAGAAAAGGAGTCCCAGGATGGACATCCAGGGATTTGGGGGCCCAGAGCTCTACCAGAGCTCTGCAGAACCCCAGCTCTGGGGCTGGAAGGATGGGTGAGGGCAAAGGGAGCTCGGTCCAAAGCATTTCATGCTTTTTCCTGTTAATCCTTCACAGCCACACCGAAGGTACAAATCCCATTTTATGATGAGAAAACTGACTTAGGTTAAATAAGTTTTGAGCCTGGGGTTTTCCCAGAAATGGAAGAGCCAGGATTTAAAAGCACAGCTGTCTGATATCAAAGCGCACACTCTTTCTTGTATTCCACATTGCATACAGAAGCCCCCACAGATTCAAGCTTTTATAGAAAGGGATAGAGGTGAGAGCTCGTTTGTTGATTCCAGCAGGTTTTCAGTAAGCACACAAGGCTTGCCATGTCTTCTGCCTTTTTTCACTATCCCGTTCCTCTGTTAACAGTTACCCACCTCTTTAGTCATTAGATGTAAGTTAAATGAATTCATTGATCTAACCATTCATTCACTGAACAAATATTTATCAACAGCCTCCTTTATGTCAGGCATTGTTCTGGGAGCTGGGGACACAGTGAAGATCACACCCAACTGAGGGCGCCTGGGT